AGGATTTCCTTCTGCATGCAGCCAGCCTGGATGAAAGCCAGCATTGTTGGCCTGTCACTCTGAGGTATCCAAGACGTGCCTTTCTCCACACAGGTGCTTTACAGCACCAGTTAACCCAGTTATCCTGCTCCTGGGTTCACTGCTTCTCAGACCAGGGGTGTGAAAAGGACTGCCTAAGAATCACAACTGGTCCCAGTAACCCCAACACTGTCACAAACTTTCCTGAAGTCATAAACATTTGGTGGCAAATGCAATTGGGCTGAAGCATAGAACCGAAATTCTTGGCCTGCATGGCCGGGGCTCACAGGTTACAACAGCTGTACCTCCTATTAAATAAAAGGCAATTCATAATCATTCTCTATTTCATAATCATAGAATCATGTCACTGGTTTGGGTTGGAAAGGACGTTCAAGATCATCTCATTCCACCCCCTTCCATGGGCAGGGACACCTTCACTATCTCAGCCCCATCCAACCTGGCCTTGAACACTCTTAGGGATCCAGGGGCAGACACAACTTCTATGGGCAACCTGTGCCAGGGCCTCACTGCCCTCACAGGGAAGAATTTCTTCCTAATGTTTAATTTAAACCTATAATGGCAGGATGGCAGAGAAAATTTTCAATAATTATTTATCAACAGATTTTATACTGGGCATTTACTTGCCTATTTTTTAAGCTGATACTCTCTTGAGATCTCACACCCTGTGCCAGTCATCATGTGCTAGTTCAGGCTGGGAAGGGGTTAATTTTCTTCAGTGGCAGTTTTGGATTTGTATTGCAAACAGTGTTCATAACTGAGGGATGCTTTAGTTACTCCTGAGCAGGACTTACACTGGTCAAGGCCTTTGCTGCTCCTTGCCCCACACTGCCAGAGACGGGGCTGGGGATGCATGTGGAACTGGGAGGGGACACAGCCAGGACAGCTGACCCCAGCTGACCACAGTGATATCCCATACTATGAGGGGTCATGCTTAGCATACAGAGCTGGGGGAAGAAGAAGGAAGGGGTAGACATTCAGAGTGAGGGTGTTTTGCCATCCCACGTTACTGTTACATATGATGGAGACCTGCCTTCTTGGGGATGGTTGAACACCATGCCTGCCCAGGGGAAGCAGGGAATTAATTCCTTGTTCTGCTTTACATGCATGGTGTTTGCTCTCCCTAATAAACTGTTTTTATTTCAAACCATGAGTTCTCTCACTTTTACTCTTCAGCTGCATGGGGCTGAGTTGCTGGCTGGGGTTAAACCATGACACAGCTCCAAAAAACACAAGTATCTTCTCTAAAAGCGACTAACGAGAGCTCTTTTGGATTGTGAACTGCATTATTGATGTGCATTTTTATTCAAGATTCAAAGCAACACCGGACTTAGGACAATTCTACAGCAAATTAACACACACCAATGCTCTCAGACAGTGAAGTTCCTAAGAATAAGAGCACTCCTCATTCCAGTGCTCCATCACTGGGAAGTTCTCATCATAGTGTGAGGTATTAAGAAGTTGATTTCATCAAGTGGATTTTTAGGAATACTCGCCTGAGGAGCTGGAAGCAGCACCAGGAGAAAAAGCCTTGTTGCGAAGGGCAGACTGATTCCGTGAACAGCCTGGACTCCTGGCGTTGATGGCAATCACCTTTCCTGGGGGAGTCAGGGACTGCTCCTCCTGAGCAGGCTTTATAGGTGACGTGGCAATGGAGCTCATCTCGGGCGTCTGAAAATGCACATTAAATGAACACTGTGTGCTGGTAGAACAAATGTATTGTGAAACTCAGTGTACTTAGGAAGCCTTAAAATTAAAATCTGATATACTACTATACCTTAAAGTACTCTAAGCAATACCTCCTAGTGTGGGTGAGGGGCAGCTGAAATTACCTTTCTGCCCATTTAGCAATGTTGGATGTAACCAATTCAATATAGTAATTTATGTTACAATTGGGTTAACATTCAACAAACTTCATGCAATGTGTTGGATCACCGTGGGAGAGAAAGAAAGAGAAAAAAAAAGGTGTTGGCTTTAATTCAGTGCAAAACTATTTTTCATAAACTCCATCCAGAGGGTTGCTGTGGTGAGAAATACATCTGGACGAAAACATTTAAATTCTCTCTTAATTCTAATCAAGCAGAGTTTTGAATTTTTTCCCTTCCCTTCTCTTTCACACTGTAACACAGCACTAACAAGAGACACATGCACTTCAATAATTTTCCAGGCATATACAGTTGTTTCATTAAGTTGTTTAAACTGTTTTCTAGAAAACCCTCCCTTTTTAAGGAATCTGTGTGCAATCACAGGCTTAAAATTACGCCTCCTGCTCTATTGCAATGCCACTTCACAGTTTGTTTTATGCTGAAGATTTTCATTTAAGGAATGAACCACAGCACAGCTGGCTGCTTTGGATGTTACAGATCATCTGGAGAAAACAGCAGGCATGCACACAATCAATCCTTCCTCTTTAAATACCCTGTAGCAAAAATATAACGTTTCCTGTCATTATTTGATGAAATGCAACTTTCAAGACATCTACAGTGCTTTCAATGAGGCAGTAAATATCTTCCTGGCCTTTGCAATATCAGTGCCACAATGTTCACGCTGCAAGAAGAGTATGGTTTTCTGAAAAACAGTGAGAATTTGAAAACAGTGAAACAGTGGTATTTGAAAAATGAAAGGTTGTGTTCCTTCTTTTTGCTGGAATGTACAATATGGTACATATCCTTAAAGAGCTCCCTTATTTTTCAGCAGCACTACGCTACTTCAAGACAGCCAAGAGTGTGAAAGAGACAGGAAAACACATGTAAATCCTAACTGCTGGATTCTCTCCCCCTTCAATTCCTCTCCCCTCAAGTGTCAGGGATGTCCTTCTTTATAGTTTGTGCATGCCATACCTAGCTGTCACCTGTGTCACCAGAAGCAAAAGTAGATGCCAAAGAGGAGACAGTATCCCAGATCTGTGAGATGTCAGACCAAAAGCCTTTGCAGTTCAAACAAAGTCTATATCTGGAGCTGCCTCTGAACAAAGATGGGTTTAAGTTTATAAAATCCTTCATTCCACATCTGTAGAACCAGAATCAAAAGGAGCTTCGAGGGAGGCTAAATCACCAACAAAGAAGGATCAAAGAACTCAGTGTTTGGTAACAGTGATACATTTGCATCCTGTCTACCACAGGCATTTGAGCAGATCTGCTGAACTCTGTCTCTTTGTAAAAGATGTTTTACTAGGTTTCAATTGGCTGCACTAGGTGGAATTGGCTGCCCAGGTATCACTGGGGCAAATCTTAAATACATGTTACAGAGCACAAGAAGGAAAGCAAGTTCATTCCCTAACGTCTGCCTAAGGAGGAAGGTACTTTTCTGGGACTGTTAAACAGCTGTCCTGGAGTCTGGGAACTTTCACACAAATCAACTGTGGTGCAGTTCTATTGACTCTGCTATTCTGAAGAAATATATTCTTTTCATTCTCATAATGTGTAATTTGAACTACCTAAACACTGAAAATCATTGCAGTTTTCATGTAGAATATTAATCTCATCCAAGATCCATTTCCCACAAAAAGTTGGATTAGATGGTCTTCCAAGGTCCCTTCCAACATGGGCTGTTCTAAGGTTCCATGAATCTGAGAGAGAACAGAAGGCACCTCACCTCACAACGTTTGCTGGAACACCAATGAGACTCACAGCAAACCAGAAGCTAAAAGGCAGTGTAAAAACCATATTGAAGCAAAGTCCACTCTGTAGCCAGCTGTCTTGTGTTGTGTTTTTTGTATAATTTAAACACAGGAATCTCCAAAGCTCTTGACATGGCTGATTACTTATTTACTATGAATGCACAACTGGGCAATTATTCCCCAAATGAAACTAGAGTTTAGTATCTGGAGCATGAACAAGAGCTACTTACTGGTTTGGGATTGACTTCAGTAGAGATGAGTTTCAGAAGGCAATTCAAGAGTCTCTGCTTGTGAAAGGTAGGACATACAGGGACAGCACTTGACTCAGATGTTTGCTCTCTAGCATCCTGGGTTTCTGGCTCCAAGACAGCCAACCAGTCATATTCCAGCTGCAGCTTGTTCGGTTTGCCCATCATGAGGTAGACTTCAGCCAGCGTAAGGCTCTCAGAGGTTCGCAGACTCCACCCTTCTTCTCTAACTTGTTGGGAGAGCCGACTTGGGTCATCCTTGAGAGTCTTTGTACTGGATTGTCCCTGAGGTGGAAACAAGGAGCCCAGCTTCTCTTGAGAATCCTCCATTACTGCATCCATGATATCCTTGGTACAAGCATCGAGCTGCTGGCCCTGACTGTGGCCAGCCTGAGTTTCACATCTGCCATTGCCAGGGGAAGCCACACCACCTCTCAGTAGCTGGGAACAGGAGTCAGAGGTCTCTGCACTCCTCCTGCTTGGAAAAACCACTGGAGAAGCATTACCACATGCTGAAGCAGAGTCTTTCCCATGCAGTTTGTCTGTGCAAGAACATTTCTCTGGGACGATTAGGTCCTGGCAGGACTTCATGTACCGTGGGAATGGATCGAGCAGAGAGAGCTCCTCGACATCAGGGATCTTGCTGCAAGCACACACCGTGCTGCATGAGGGTAGCACAGCTGCCTGGTCACTAGCCAGGGCCTCCCTGCCCTCCACACAGGGGGCCACTGAGCTCAGCTTTTCCTGGTGCCCTCCTGGATCCTGAAGTCCAGAAGGTGGTTTCTGGAGGGAATTAGTGCTGCTGAGATTCGAGGCAGTTCCTTCCACCAGGACAGGCTCTGGGGCACCATCTTCAGTGCTTGCAGAAACTTCAGCTGCAGGCTGTAAGGCTCTGCTGGGCTCTGTTGTGCTCTCTGCCCTTCCCGTACCCTTACCTTCCATTCCCCGCAGGTATTTCATCTGTCCCCTTGCTGTCCCCTGACCACTCTGTATTCCAAGGATTTGGGCGGGGGGCAGTAAGTGAGAGTCTTTCGTGTTCTGTTTGCATTTGCCCGTTTCCTGCCAATGCACGGTACAGAAGGCCTTGGAGTGGACCACTCTGGCTACCCCAGGCAGTGGAGTGAGGGTACAGTTCTCCCCTGGAAAGAGATGGAGCATCACTTTCTCCTCTGAGAAGCTGCCTCTTGTTTCTGAGTCTCTGGAATCTTGAAGTTGCTGTTCTTCGAGTGTTTTACGCTAAAAAAGATGTGTCAAAGAATGTAACGTCGTGTGCCCCTTCCAAAAAAGCACCTGGGAGCCTATTTTGCAAGTCAAAAAAAAAGTAAAAGAAAACCTAGTTGATCGAGGACATGTTCTCTATTCAGCACAGATTATAGTGAAGACACTATAATCAGAAATTAGGTCCTTTGTGGTGATAAAAACTGCAGTGAAGACCTGCTACAAGCACAAAATAAATATCCATTCCAAACAAAATTACTTTTCTCTGTTTCACACACCACTGTAATTGTAAAAAAAAAAAAAAATCCCAATCAACAAATCCCAACAAAACCTCCAACACTGCACAGCAAAGCAGCCTCTCATGAGTGCAGCAAACTCCACCTTACACTCTCTGACATCCTTCAGAGTTTCAAGTGCTATGCTACCTCTTCCAGGCTCACAAATTAAACAGAAAAGACTGAATGAAAGGCCCAGGAAGATAAAACCTACAAATCAGAAGGACTAGGTTCAGAACAGAACAGTTGTTAACTCAGAAATCCTTCGACTGTATGGATCAGAGGCAGGGACGCCCTGAACGCTGTATGGCTCAGACAGTGCAGAGATACACTGCAGGCAGCAGCAGCTACCTTGTCAAGAAGCTTAAGCCTTCACTGGTGAAACTGCACTAAGTGCAAAGATCTGTCCTTCATCTGTCTGCTGAAACTGGAAACAGAATTGTCAATTATCCAGGCTGTATGAGGGTCACCCACTGATAATGAACCAGACTAAGATCACTGTTTAAGGAAATTAAATAAAAGCAGGAACATAATTTTTTCTTAACTAGCTTTCAGGGGACCATAACAGAGTTGAGGTAAAAGCAGAATGCTATGGGATGTCCCACAGCTGCTTCCATTAGTGATGCTGAGGCTTTACCTCTATCTTCACTAAGCAGGGACTGGTATATTCATGAAGTAGATTCACTTTTCTGATGCAAAACTGAACTTGGAATAGGAAGGGAATTGCTCCCAGGACACAGAACATGGAACAGACTGAGTAGGAAAAGGATACAACCCGCACTTCATGGAGAGCCCACTTCTGCTTCAGGAATTCAAGGAGGCTGGAGACCTTCCGATGTAACTCCACGATCATCCTGCAAGGGAACAGAGAACAACTGTCAGCAGGAGCTCCAAGTCCTAACCTTGATACTAGAAGGGGAATTAAGGATAAACTGGCATTCTATAATACCAGCACAAAGAACACTCTCAAGTGCTAAGAAAAAAAAACAGAACAAAACGAAAAACTTGTTATCCCACAACTTTAAAATCTAGGTTAACTCACAACTGTGACAACTCACACATTCTAAAAGCCTCTCAGATAAACCTGACTGCCGTGATTCAAGAAACTACTTTTTCCAGATGGAAGAAGATAGGAAAAGATGGCAAGACTTAGCCTGCAAAAGTACAGGCAAGGCACAAAGCTACTCAAAAAAGAAAGAAAGAGAAAAAGAGGCACAAAAGACTCTTAAACATTTACTTTTTGAAAGTATTTTATTAAATAAACCTAATGCAGAGAAGAGCATGGATAGTTTTATCATGCTCTTTGGTCACTACACTGAAGTGTTGCATTTGAAACAACACTCAACATCACAGAGGCCTCATGTTTGCTGCCCCAAGTTCTGGACTAGATGTAAAGTACCAAGATGAACAGCCACTGATGACACTGAACAGCTGCACCAACAACACATTGCAAAGGAGAAGCTACAAACACCTTCCATGTTGATTTAATCATTGGGTGCAGGTGAAATGCTCAGAGCCTTGGTGCAGGCACCTCTGACCAATATGTATGTTCCCTTCTCTCTGTCTATGGTACATGCAATACAATTTTTAGTAGAACAAAGGCTACTATCTCCTTTTACTTGCCCTCTGCTCTGACATTAAGTGGCAGAAACTATACTCATCTCTAAAGTTAGTAGCTCCTTCATTACTGAAATTAAAAGATATAAAGAACAATGGCAATCTAATTTTCCCACGTGATAACTCATGTTCACAAACCATGCACTCTGGTTGGACAAAGGCTGCAGACTAAAAGTACACTTAGGCCAACTGCATTCTCAAAGATGAACCGTCCAACCGGCAAAGAAAACCCTGAAGAAAGAGGAAGGGGCTAGGATGCTGTTCATCTATTTCCCTATTCTGAGCACCACCATCAGTTCTCCATTACCTAAGCCGTGGGTTCTGGGCAAGACTCTGTACTCGAGCCCATGCGTGGTTATTCCGTGGCTGCAGCTCCACAGGGACCTTGAGAGGAAGTCGTACTGGCTTTTGGTCCTCTTCATCGCTCACACCTGAATGGAGATGAAGCACAAAGGGTCAAAGCAAGGACAACCCAGTCACAACACTGTACACTCAGTTACACAATACAAAAGATCAGACATCCCTACAGACAACTCAGGCAGCTCAGTTTCATCAGTAGCGCCTGCTTCATTAATTACCTTTGGTACCAATACCTTCTTATCCCTGGACACTGCAGTGGTACTGGGGATTCCAGCGGAGCAAGCAGTGTCAAAAATCAGATGTCTGGAAACCTTGAGCAAGTACAGTATTTCAGACCTTTGAAGAGCCTGATTCTACTTACTTGGGAACGAGGAAGTAAACAATAAACCCAAAATGAAATCACACATAGCTGAATAGGAGAAGGTAAAACATTTGAAAATGTTCAAAGCTAAACATGATACTGCTGCTGATTCACTGGCACCTTCACATTCAGTGAAAGCACAATCTGTAAAGCAGCAGTGAACTGGTCTGGTGCGGGTATTTTCTTTTCATCTTAGCTGGTAAGAAAACTGGGTGAGTCCTGAAAGTTACTAGGGTTACACAAGCAAACAGGCCAAGACAGAATACTGTGCCCAGGACAAACATGCAACAGCCCAAATTACCCTGCCAGTGATGGATACACCAGAACAAGCCTGCTCACTTTCTATGCTTCCGGCCATCTTCTAGAACACCATCACGTTCCAACATATTTTACTCACCATCTGGATCACAGAGTTTCTTCAAAGCCCTGCACATGGGAGCTTTGATACGCAGGTTTCTGCCTTTGTAACGAACAGTTGTAGCCCTGGATATATGGAAAGAGAAGTACTTAGGGGAACCAGTAACAACAATGTGCCAACAGACCTATCCATCTTAGGCCCTGTCTTCTTCATCTACTTCATATATGATTTAGACACAGGACTGGAAGGGATACTAAGCAATTCTGCAGAAAATACAAAATTGGGAGAAGGTGTGGAGTCACTTGAAGGCAGGGAGGCCCTGCAGAGAGACCTCAGCAAATGAGAGAGAACTGGGCAATCACCAACCATGAGAAGTTTAACAAGGAAAAGTGCCAGATTCTGCACCTTGGATGTATGGACAGAGTGGGGAAGGAGATGCTGGAGAGCAGTGCTACAGAAAGGACCTGGAGGTCCTGGTTGAGGGCCAGTTGGAGCTGAGTAACCAATGCCCTGGAGCCAAGAGGGAAATCCCTCTTGGGGGACCTGGGGGCACCAGGTCTAACATTGCCAGCTGGGCTCAGGGGGGATTGTCGCATTCTGCTTTGCACTGGGGTGGCCTCACATTGAGTATTGTGCGCAGTTTTGGTCACCACAATGTAATAAAGATATTAAACTATTAGAGAGTGTCCAAAGGAGGGCAAAAAAATGGTATAAGGGGAAGCCATACGAGGTCTGCCTGAGGGCACTTGGTCTGGAGAAAAGGAGACTAAGGGGAGACCTCCTTGCAGTTACTACTTCCTCATGAAGAGGAGAGAAGGGGCAGACAGTGATTTATTCTCTATGCTGGTGACCAGTGACAGGACCCAAGGAAATGGCCTGAAGTTGTGTCAGGGCAGGTTTAGGTTGGATATCAAAAAAAGCTCCTTCTGCCAGAATGCTTGGGCACTGAACACGCTCCCCAGGGCAGTTGTCACAGCAGCAAGCCTGACAGAGATCAAGAAGCATTAGAATAATGCTCTCAGGCACAGTGTGACTCTTGGGGATGGTGCTGTGCAGGGCTGGGAGTCGGACTTGATGACCCCTGTTCTTTCCAACTCAGCTTATTCTGTGATTCTGGGATCAGGGACACAGAGGAAAACACCATCATGGCTACAGGAATGAATACAGAAACATAAGGGTCCGCACTGCAAGTTCACAGAGCATTCAGTCTTTCCTATCTTCCTTTACTTTTCATTGTGGAAGTGCTACTCTTGTGGCTCTCCTCTTTCAGACTTTCATGAAACACTTGGTTGCCCACTTGGGGAGGGACTTCTGTTTTGTAAGTGGACCAGGATTATGTTACTTTGGTTCAAGAGTACCCTCACAGACAGCTGCTTCATGAAAGATAAGTGGTTTTGATTTAGTCTTCCCTTTATACTCATGAGTCTCAATTATAGGAAGAAAGAGAGTCAAGTTTTTGCAGAGTCTTGCATTTGGAAATATGATTACCATATCTGGTGTAGACATGAGGTCTAAGAGCTTGTGCAAAAAACTGAATAATCTTTTACACTATGATTTAACTGGTTTACCTTCAATATCACTTTAGCAGTTTCAAAGATCCTTAAAAGTGACAGGTCATTTTTGCTTTCACACTGTGAAACGACTTGATTTCTTCACTCCATCAGTCCTGTTTTCTTTTTAGGGACTTAAAAGGCAGGCAAAGAGCCCAATCAAATTACCAATGGCAGTATTACTACCTAATACTTGAAGCATTAAGGATCAGCTGGCATAGAAGCAGCACGATTGAACACAAGTCCTTGCAGACTTCCTCTAAGTAAAACACCATCACGAAGGAAGAGCAGTTATCTACAGTGCTAAGAAGAAAATCAGAAAAAGGGCAGCAGAAGTGAAGGCAGACCTGAAAAGATGGAGCTGATGGGGTGAACAACTCAAAGTTTCAGTTACTAAACTGTGAACTTCTGTAGATTTGGAATATCTCTGGGCTGGAAGAGCAGATTTCCTTTCAACTTAATTATTGGAAACAAGAATTGTTTGAAGATTGTTAGTCCCACCAAGTCCAACAGGGTAAAGTCTCTGTCAGTGTCTTCCAGTGTAAAGATTCTCTCTAAGAGAGACACAGAAACCCTTGTGGATATCTAATCAAAATGTTAAGGTAAGGACAAAAGATAAAACCTCCTCATGGGCACCTCAGCCTTAGCATGAGACTCCATATCCTCTTGTAACTATCCTTCTATTAAAGTGTAGATACAATTTTATCAGAAAAATCATCATTTTGTACAATGATCCTCTTCCCTATTTGTAATCTGTTTTAATACAGTATATTCTTTTGACTGCTTGTGCAAGCTGAGACTCTCCTCCTTGATTTTAGCTAATGCAATTCTTCATTATCAAATGTGCCTTTGAAGAATGTGAGGGAAGAGTCAGAAATAGCATTATTATTATCATCATCATAATTATTACCTTGACAGTACAACAGTAAAAGTAAGAAGAGGTTTGGGGAAAGAAACATATTTTTTATATTAACTAATATAACTATATAAACCAATCAAGTTTTGTGGAAATGATTTCATCATGTGAGTGGAAGGTGACTGAAACAAGGGCCTGGCTGCTCAGAAGGCCCAGGAGGTTTGATCTGCCTAAAACAGCTGAGCTAAATGACCTAAGGAAAAGAAGAAAGAAGAAAAGTGCTGTTGTTCATTTTTCGTATTTCCTATGTCTGTTCAAGAGCCCAGCTAGTTGATTGTAAAGCATTTATTGTTGAGCCAGGCTACCTGGTAGTTGTTCGTGCTCAATTTGTCTGCCACCTGTGCAGGTGGACCTTGGGCTGCAGGTATCCACCATCTGTTACCACAGAACAGCTTATAAATGAACATGAATCAGCATCACAAACTCCTCACTGCATTTCTATTTGTGCTTCAAAGGGCAGAGAGATGAGAAAAAAAACCAAAAAATCCCCAACCCAACTAAAACCTAAGATAAAAGCCAGAAAATAAGTGTGAAAAATATAAGTATGTTATGGAAAAGATACTATTTGAAAGAAAACCCTCACCAAACAAAAAAAAACCAAAACAACAAAACACTAGGAGGAAACCAAACAACTGCAAACCTGCTGATATCTATATGAAGAAGCAGGAACTACTGCCTTTCTTGAGTGTGAGGGGAAATGACACAGTTCAAAAATCAGTAAGCGAAGTACACCATTCAGTAAATGAAGAAACACAGAGCACACATAAATGTGACAAAACATTAAAAGTCTTCCTATGCAAGTTTTCACCCTGCCACTACAGCACTCTTCCACAACTACAGCAATCAATGCTATTTTCATGCTTCCCTAACACATGCTTTAGAATATTCCAGCTCCCCACATTCAGGTGTTCAGCCTCCCCTAATTCCCTTTTCCATTAAGTATCATTAGCTTCAAGTAATCAAGGACAGAGTCTAAAGAATAACTTATTATCAAACTAATATAAAAGCAGATCTATTTAGACATTCTAATTTTCTAATTGAAATCTATGGCTGGGAGGCTGGAAAAATACTTTCTACAAATTTAGGGGAAAACACAGTAAAGGAGTCAGTCTGCAACAGAACTACTCTTAGCTCAAAATTCTTATTTTCTTCTGTTACCTAGATCCTGGATGTCTCCAGAAAAGGCTAGGTCTTAAAAATAGTCACTCTACTGACTATGCATTCAGAATTACTAGTCTGACTTGACCCAAGAGCATAACTTACCTACTTAAAATATTTTGGTTTATTTATTATTTTTTTCAGTATGAACTGCTATTTTATGACCAAGATTTTTAGAGAGTTACAGATTTCCCCTCAGCATGCCAAAGAGCTTTCCCAAGGAACTGTAAGACAGTGAAGAATCACTCCTATCCCACATAAAATACATTCAGAATCTGAACCAGATGGAGAAATTAATGCCTGTTAATGGTTTCTGTCCTTCTCACCTTATGCTACAAAGAGCCTCTCAGGCTGGGTGGGTAAAACTACATACACTACCAGACACTGAAGAGTGCTCTGCTTAACTAGTTCACAGTCACAATACTCCTTTAATTAGGAGTTTCTTGTGGTTTGGACATTAAGAGGCTGGAGTCTGTGCAGAGATGGGAATGGAGCTGGGGAAGGGTCTGATGAGGAGCAGCTGAGGGAGCTGAGGAGGCTCAGCCTGGAGAAAAGGAGGCTCGGGGGAACCTTCTGGCTCTGCACAACTCCCTGACAGGAGGGGGCAGCCAGGGGGGCTTTGGGCTCTGCTCCCAGGAAGCAAGAACAGGAGAGCAAACACCCTCAAGTTATGCCAGGGGAGGTTTAGATGGGCTACTGACAAAATTTCTGCACTGAAAGAATGGTCAGGCAGTGGAACAGGCTGTCCAGGGCAGTGGTGGAGTGTCCATCCCTAAAGAGATTTAAAAGACTTATGGATGTGGCAATTGGGGACAGGAGTTAGCGGTGGCAGGGCTGAAGTAATGGTTGGACTTGATGATATTGGATTCCAACCTAAATAATTATATTATTTTCCTGAGTGAATTCACATGCTTAATTACTGTAGCTTCTATAAAGAATTCTCATTTAATTATTTTATTAAACGTAACCCATCATTTCTCATTAACAATTAATGGCTTCATGGAAAAGGGGAGATATATCCTAATACAAAACAGACTAAGAATAGAAAACATCAAACTTCAGCTCTTGAAAATTAAGAAATGCCCCAAACTTTGGATGATCAATACAACAGTCAAGTTGGGAACAATGCAGTTTTAGGAGTTTCAGGATGAAGTTCTTACTTACCCGGCTTGAATGAGTTCATTGAGTTTAGCTGCATTCTTGTCATCCATACCTTTTCAGTAAATGAGATAACACAGTGGATTAGGATATACACTGTTAAACCTGTGGCCTTCTCTGTGTCCTATTGGGTTTTCAAAGCTAATTACATTTTATTCTCACATAGGATTAATGTGCATAAACGTGCTGTAACATAGCTCTTCTGGAAAGTTTGTATTTTCATAACATGCAAGCTTTACATGATACTTGCCACAAAAATTACTCTTTACACATGTATTAAACCACCACAGTTTAGGTACTACAGCCATCTTTGAACACTGGGCTTTAATCTGACACTGGAGTATTAAAAAGCAAAGCTTCTTCCTGCTCAACCTCTGTTGCAAAGCATTCTAGAAAAACAGCATTCTAGAGCTTAACACAACAAAAAAGTAAATAAAAATAATAAAATGCGCATGCAACCCTCACTTTTTTGTATGTATTATAGAGCATGTTTTTAAACGGACATTTTGGTAACTTGATTTATATGACAATTAGACCTAGATCTATTTACTGAACAATCAACCTCCCTCTGGCAATGCTATAAAAGTATTTCTGGAGTGCTTTTGTGTCTCAATAGCTCTCAGTAAGTCTTCTCCATGTCTGTGACTGTGAATACCCCAAGAGAAAAAAAAAAAGGGTTGGGGGGGGAAGGAAGAAACTGCTTTCCACAGCTGTAGAGTAGATCTGTCATAAATGGTATAGAGTCTTGCATCTTGAGTACATTTGGTCTTGGAGACAAGAATTTTCCAAGCGACAGTGGGTGAAGTATGTAACCAAGTCCCAAAGTTCTAAAAAGACAGAAGCACAGAGGCTGCAGGCATTGCCATGATGACCGTGTGAAATCTTACTCCCAGTCATAGCAAGAAGGGTCTGCTTGGAAAACAAGATATGGGTACAGGAAAAAAACATTAACACTGATTACTGCTGACAGTGCAATGTGCCTTGCTTCTGCACCTGCTTTGTTACTAAACAGTTCAAAATTGCTTTTCCAAGCTGAGCACGGCTTCTCCAGTTAACAAACTGGAGATCTTTAAACAAACAGAATAAAGTCAGTATGAACATTCACAAGTCTCTTTCATTACCTGTTATGACAGCAATCCCAGGTAAGGGAAGAACATAGCAAAAAACCCTTCCCAAAATCCCATAATCCTTGTAGGAATTGTACATGTTCACTCATGAACGCTTTCATGTCCATTTCACTTTATAACTAGTATGACTTCACAAAGAAGTGAAGGTATTTTGATGGTTTTCCCTGTCTCACAAATTAAACAAAGCAGGTAGAAGATACACTATGATATAACATTGACTGTACAAAAAGCCTGGGGACAAATGAAAAAAAATATCGATAAAAAGGTGTATGCACATGGACTGGCACATATAGGGCATGTTCCTCTGCCCACTCTTCAAGCCAGTCATGTCAGAGCTCTCTGGTCTGGAAACCATGAAAACCATAGGAACCGTGTCCTAGGGCTCATCCCCACAGTGTGGACATAGGGTAAGGTAGGGATCCTCTATTCTACTCAGGTGAGATTCCACCTACAGTGCTGGGGGTCCCAGCATATGAAGTACTTAAAGAAGGCTTATGACAAAGACAAGGACAGACTTTTCAGCAGGGCCTGGAGGGACAGGACAAGGGTTGATAGTTTTAAACCACAGGAGGGGAGATTTAAACTACATATAATGAAAACACTTTGTATTATGAGTGTATGGAGGCCCTGGAACATGTTGCCCAAAGAAACTGTGGTTGCCCCATCCCTGGAAATGTTCAAGGCCAGGTTGGATGGGGGTTCAAGCAACTTGGGATAGTGGAAAGTGCCACTGCCCATGGTAGGGGATTGGGACAAGATGGTCTTTAAGGTCCCTTCCAATCCAAACGACTCTATAGTTCTGTGAACCTAAGCTCTGATATGTTGCTAATGCAAATAATTAACTGCCAGCAAACAGCAGAGCATTGTTATGGCACATACTCCTCCATCTCCACTCATCAATATGGACAAAACTGGACTCGGGCTGACAAGGTCAGAACCCATCTTGCTTAGCCAGTAAAGTTGTTTCCAATTATGAGCAAACATTTAGAAGAAAACTTAGAACATTTAGAGAAAAACTTAGAAAAAGACACCATCCCAGAATTTGACTGCATAGGCACAAATAATTCTGGGTGTAAATGGTATCGTTTACAGACTTACTTGCTTAGGTTTCAATAGTAACAGAATAGATCATCTAAGCTTTGTGTACGTTTTCCTATCACCTGTGGGCAATACATGCACTGCAGTCTGCAGACAGATAAAACTTCAAAATCTATCAAAGTGGACTAATGCAAGATTAAGAAGGTCTGTAAAAATAAAAATACATTTAATGATGAAATAACACCAAAGATTACAGTAACAGTGAAGAACTCAAAAGTGGAACTGAACTAGACACTGCCAACCTCAGAGGTAGTAACTTCTGATTCCATCATGTAAAAATAACCTGAAGTCATTCATACTCACATCCTCCGATCTTTTTTCTTAGTTCCCCATAGCAGATTAAGCCATAGAGCTCCAGGGAAGATTTTTTCAGCCCTTGAGAAAACACTAGAAAGCAGAAAAGGTGTCAGTGAGATGCAGGTTGCAGATACGCACAGCTACATTGCAGATACTCATTTCAACACTAAATAGGAGAGGATTTGTATTTTCAATGATGAGACAAAGCAGATCAAAGTTCTGGCTCAAGAAACACTATAATGGGATTGGTTCACTAACTTCCTTTTCATGGCATTTTTTAGATTACAGGAAAACAATGCAGCTTTCGTGGAATTTAAATGAATATGCAACTGCTCAATATGCAAAATAAAGCAAATTAATAATAAAGGTAAGTTTAGTATCAACTGTTTACAAATTCTAAGGGAAATGTCCAGATGCTCCCAAGCAAATGCATACAGAACTCTTTTACACGAAAATTCAGAGGTGGGTCTGGATTTTCCAGAAGACAGAGAACATTTTTTGTGCACACAAACACATCCTAAGAGATTTGATGCAAATTCTAGATTCTAAATTTTTACACAAAAAATTGCTGACATTTTATTCAACTTTGCAAGGGTTTTTTTGTCCTTTCTCTTCAACACACAAGATGCAGACATTACTGCTAATAGATCAAAAGATCTATGATAGTAAGGACAGTCTTGTAGTTTACTAATCAAGTGAAAATATTTATTCTTGTCTATTCATCAAAACTTTACTTCTCTTTGATCTCAAAATCCAAGCACACATATTTCTACCAATGCTAAACCTAATCAAACTACTGATTGTTAAATTCTTTCAGACACTGAGATTCTAGACCCCACAGATATAGATACATAACTTTTAGTTATCAAAAAGACACATTAACTTCTTCCATGACATCTTTTTATTTTAAAAATTCTTCCAGACTGCATTCGCTGCAACACTGGCTTTTAAATAAAATACTAATGGCTTCATCTTTAAGTGTTGCCTTGTTTTGAAAAAGGAACTTGCAATACACCTGGTGCCAGGTGGTTTAGATATTCAAGTCCTCCTTTAGGTAACCTAAGCTAAGGAACACAAAAGTTCTTAAACTACATACTCATAGTATAGTATGCACTATTGTACACAGTACAATACTAAGTGTATCGTACACTAGGTTTGCATTCCTTCATTTTCTTTCTAGCCACATCTATTTCTCCTTAATGAGTTACTTTTAATAACTCATTTTTAATTTTTACGAAGGTTTAACAAGACCAAGTGCTGGGTCCTGCACTTTGGTCAAAACTCCCTGCAGCACTATGGGCTGGGGACAGAATGGCTGGACAGCACCCAGGCAGAAAGGGACCTGAGGGTGCTGATTGACAGCAGGCTGGACATGAGCCAGCAGTGTGCCCTGGTGGCCAAGAATGACAATGGCATCCTAGCCTGGATCAGGAATGCTGTGGCCAGCAGGACTAGGGCAGTGATTCTTCCCCTGTACTCAGCACTGGTTGAGCAGCACCTCGATTGCTGCATTCAGTTCTGGGCCTCCCAATTTAGGAAGCACAGGGAGCGGCTTGAGCATGCCCAGAGAAGTGCAACAAGGCTGGTGAGGGGTCTGGAACACAAGTCCTGTGAGGAACGGCTGAGGAAGCTGGGGGTGTTTAGTCTGGGGAAAAAGAGGCTCAGAGGAGACCTCATCACTCTCTACAACTCCCTGAAAGAAGGGTGTAGCCAGGTGGGAGTCAATCTCTCCTCTTAGGCAACCAGTCACAGAATGAGAGGACACAGCCTTAAGCTACGTCAGAGAAGGTCTAGGATGGACATTAGGAGGAAATTCTTCATAGAAAGAGAGATTGAGCATTGGAATGAGCTGCCCAGGGATGCAATGGAGTCACTGTCTCTATAGGTGTTTTAAGAAAGGATTGGATGTGGCACTTGGTACCATGGTCTACTTGACAAGGTGGTCTTAGGTTGGACTCTATGATCTCAAAGGTCTTTTCCATCCTAGTTGATTCTGTGATAAAGAGATTGTACTGTACACTAGCTTTGCATTCCTTAACTTCTTTCCAAATCCATTTCTCCCTGATGAGTTATTTTTAACTTGAGAGGCTCTGGCCACAAACTGTAGATGAATTCACTATCCAAACTTTTGCTGATATTTAGAGATGTTCAAAGACAAAAAAATTCAACCTCCACAAACTGCATTTTGGATTTATGCATCTTAGAATACACCATCAGAAGGACCAGAAAACTCTGGAGACTATTATTTAATCAACAAGCTAACAGGAGAACTAACATTTTTGACACCTTGAAGTCAGAACTGAATCTTAGTAAAATCTGGTCACTCTGAAATACATTTATTTAGCCTATTATTCAGATTAGGCCAGCCACAAACTATCCTGAATCCTCTCTGCCCATTCATAAGTAAGATGGATTTGATAAAAATCTATTCTCAATTTTCATGTTACTATTACTGTTATAAAACACCACCAGCAGTTCATCTGACTTCCCAATTTCGTTTTCATTAAAGCAGTTGCAAACGGAGGGAAAAGAATGGGAAGGGGAATATGGCACTGGGAATCCTAAGTTATTGAACCCATGGTACAATTTCAAACTTCTTTAAAGTAGGAGCAAATATGTCACCATTTACACTTGTATTGGACTGTTATTTGTTTCTACCTTCCCCCAAGAATTGCGAAGTGGTGTTGGGTCAGCTTGCTTGATAGAACCATGCCTGATTAATGTTTAGGCAGTTCTCCTTGAAGGTGTGTTCCTGAGCATACAAAAACATTTCCTTGAACCTAGTTTTTTCCCAGTATTAACATCAGGATCTGCATTTACTATGGTGTGGTGAATTCACAGAATAGTAGTGATATGAATACCAGGTTTTAAAAAGTATTTTTCACAAAACATGAACCCTGGTAGGGCCACGCTAACAAAAATAAGTGAGACACTGTGGACTCCCTGAAGTCTCCACAGCCAGGTTGGAGATGGGACATTGAGCAACCTGGTCTAGTGGAAGGTGTCCCTGCCCATGGCAGGGGATGGAATGGGACAGTCTTTGAGGTCTCTTGTAACCCAAACCATCCTGTGGTTCTACAACTCTATGTGCAGTATTTATTTCCTCACCTCTAAAAGGCAGGACTCCAACCCTTGCACCAAGCCCATTTTGGTGCATACTAACCATTGTCAAAGTCAATATACTTGGAGATCTTGTGCCAGGTGCGGTAGTAAAAATGCCGGACCTGCTCCTTGTTCTTCACCATGCTTGCTGGTTTGCCTTTCTTCTTGTATTTCAAGGCAATGTTGCTCTGGATAGCTTCAAAGTCCTTCCCATGCTGAAGAAAGAATAAATCGAATTGAAATACTCAAACCCAAACTTGGATCTTGTCGTAAGTCAAGTCAAACAATGTGAGGGACTTCAGGGTTCTTTCTGGGAAATTGGATTTCAACATCCATAAACAAAATTTTTGGGGATCAGAACTCAACAGTGACACTGGCTTCCTTTGTTTTATATAAAATGCAATATAGATGCCAAATTAATTACTTTCTAATTTCTTTAACTATTGCAAAATAAAAAACAGCAAGTTGCTAGCAAATAAAAAAAAATCACCCAACTTTACTTACTAATGCATTAAGTAGCAGGACTAAAAACATTGATTTTCTCTCTGAGCATTCTTTAGTTTCATCTGCATTGCCCCCACCATTTCTGACTAGAGTAAATAAAAAATGTTCTGTATTTACCAGCTGCACTTTTATTTACAGTACATTTCATGTTACTGTTACTCGGAGTAAAAAAATTTGAGTTTTGATTTGATCTTATACACATTAACTCCTGGTATCACAAAATTTTTGTATTCAGAAAAGATTGGAACTGATTTAATTACAAAGTATGAAAACCTCTTCTGAAAGGCAGTATCACAAAATGAATGGTAGAAGGGATTGAACAAACTGAGTCTCAGATCCACCTTAAAGCAAATCCTTAAAATTTTTCCTCACTATTCAAAAAAAGTCAGTGAAGCAGCTTAAAAATTACTTGATTCCCAGGAATATTGCTGCAATTTAGAGGAGCTAAAAAAAGAAAAAACACTGTTTAACTGTTCATTTTGTCAACAAAATATATGTATGTGATACCATGCCTATGATGAAAAAAAAGTCAAAAAGATGCACATGTACGAAGAAAACTCCTCATCACTGCTTTTGTTTTTACCTTTGGCATGCATTTTCAAAACAGATATGCTGTTGAAATAATCACAAGAACAGGTCAAGCAGGAATCCATCATATACATCATAAGGAACAGATGATAAGATGATGCAACATTTTTCTGCCTCTCAGCCCTAGGATTGAACTGGTTCTAGCCTCTTCATGGCCAAAGACTAAACACAATTCTCTTTAGAACAGAACAGCTTTTCTTGTTTGTTGTAACACAGACCAAGTGTGTTACTTTTGAAAGTTCAGATGGGGACATTATTTAAGTATTTTTCATTTGAAACAGAACCGTAATTCAGTAACTGAAATTATTATAAACATTCATTAATAAAACTCAGAAATCTTTCCTGTGTATTTAAAGAAACAAAACCAAAGAAACTTGAAACTTTTGACACGTGGCTTTGACTGACAGCTGTTTTACTGCCCTGTATATGGTCCCACAAATGTTCATCTCTAAGTGGCCTTCTGCTCCTGCCAATCTCACCCGAATCAACCTTCTTTAAGAATATCCAGACTGTAACTAAAGCCATCTAAGTCTGTTATTTTCTTCTATGTGTACCTCATACAGTCCCTCAAAGAAAGTATTCTTGTCTTCCGTGCTCCATGACTCCCACTGCCGTCGGACCTTCTTCCCTTCTTCCTTCTCTCCTGCCGAGGAGCCCAGGTTCCTTGCCGCTGACTTGGAATTCCCAGCAGGATTGCTGGGAGGAATTCCTGACGTGCCACCAGGTGCAGTCCCTCCATTATCTGCTGCTGTAAAAACCATAACCAGAGTGAATATTGAACCAACAAGAGGATCCTCGGATAGACGTGAGGGAGTAACTCAGAATGTTCTCATTTACACTTGAAATACACTGGGCAAACAAAGAGGTTTGTTTAATAGGAATAAAATCTCAAAGCGCAAAAAAACTAGAGGAAGGTCCCAATGGCTTAATTTCGTATTTCTAGAAATAACACAGATAAGCAGGAATGTATCATAGCAGCCTCTACTAGATAACCCTCTCTGACGCTTATATGCTAGTGAGCTCTGCAGTCACTGCCCTGCAGCCACAGAGAACTCCTGAGCAGTACTGAACAGGGAGCTGACCAATGGAACAAAGTGATGTCCGTGAGGAAAATAGGCAGAACGTCACATTCTTTTCTTTGGTCTTGATCCTACTGCCTCCAGAAGAACTGTGGAAAGGGAAGGATTGAGAGATGTAGGCTGTAGTTCATCACACGACAATGGGTCAAGCATTTCCATGATCTGATCCACAGTGTATGACCCTCAGAGCACCACCTCTGACATGGACCATTAGGAAAATTCCAGCTATCCAAAGGATGGCAAGTCTCAATCTACTCTCCTTTCCCAAATTCTACTGTGGCTTTCAAAAAGAGGCATAGAAGTGTAATCTTGATTGTCCCTTTGTCAGTTATCAGCATCCAAAGAACACGGAAAAAGAGATATGAAGACTGGAAATACTAAAATGAGAATAATGCCAGATAAAACAGAAAGACTTTGCTGTTTACTCAAGTAGGGACCTGGAAAGAAAATGGGATGGAAAATCTACAAACAAAACATCACACCTGATTTGACACTCTAAATCAGAGTGCTAATCCAGAAACCAGGGTCAACCCCCCAGAGTGTACTCATTTTTTTATGTAAAAATATAACTATTCCCAGTAATTTATATTTCAAAAATAAATTATCTTTAATTTTATTTTAAAAAATATTTAGGATTTGACTGTATTTACCAATGCAGACATCTACTTAATAAAACAAAAGCCTTTTAACACTAAACATTCACTTTCACTACTCATTACACTTTCCTTTTCTCCAGTTACTGGCCTGTATGTTTTGAGTTTTACCTCATGATATACTGGCGTGACTTAGTTTATTTGCTTATACACCCAGCTTGTACAATACAGCAGTCCCAACCAGTTTCCCTAATTTTTATATATATCAGCATAATTCTCTCTCTCATATTTAGGCCTAGAAAGTCCAGTTATCTTTTCAAACTCAACTTCATGAAGCTTTACCTGACAAAGCCAGTGTATATATACACACACATATATATCCCATTCAAAAACCCAGAGATCCCACTTTGATAATTCTATAGTATTTTTTTTAAGTATAAGAAGAATCAGCTGTTACAGGCCCACTATGCTTTAGAGATTTAAAGACTTGTATGTAAATCTTAACAAGTTAATTGCAATTTGAAAGAAATTCCTTTGGGCAACAAAATCATGTTTCTCCAAATCCTAGATAAGGTAGTTTGTTCAAGTAATGGAGAATATATGAAATCAAACCTGGAAGAGAGCAAGGTGTGTGAAAGTCCATTTTTCTCCTGCATACAATAAATATTTAGTTGATACAAAATATGATATTGCGACCATTTTGTAGTTAATGTTGCTTTTATTTCTAGGGAAGACTATTGACTCTTTTGAAGAAAATTACTGTCACCACAGCGAAGCATGTAAGCCAAGACATAAAAAACCATTAGACATCTAGAAGAAAATGCACTTATAAACAACTTCTCAAATAAACAGCTTCTTTACTTCTTAAAGTCTTCATCAGCCACTGATAAAATAATTGAAACTTAAGCCATTTAATTCTGGCAATGTGGAGGTAAATCCTTTAAAAAAAAAGGAAACCACAAGAAAAAAACTGAGCACTTTAACAGATGGCTGAGAAGAAACCCAACACAGACACAGAACTGACACTTCTTCATTCTGCAAATGTGAGACTGGAATATCACAATTTGCACAGTAATGAAATACAGATCTTTGGTCAAGAAGGGGAAAGTGAAACACATCATTCCCCAAACTCAATCTCCAATCTCCTGTTGCTACCAGCTCCCAACACAAAAGACATCCTTTATCAGAAGTTAGGCACAGGATTTCAGTTCAGATCACAGATCCCCAACTTCTGAGAAATCCTTCAAAGGAACAACGAATGCAGGATTTGGGGCTTTCATTTGTGTGCTGGGTGGTTGTTTTTTGTTTGGGGTTTCTGGGGGCTTTTTCTTTTTTTTAATACTTACTAAAGTAAATAAAATCCTAAGTCAGCTGCCTGAAGAACAGATCTTTTCAAGGATTTTCTAAAGATTGCTCAGTACACTTGGTATACATAAAGTTTTCATTATTAAAAGGCATAGGAAACTAAAGTGTCAGTGAAGATTTTATGGTCGTATAAGAATTTAAAGTTCAGTTCGTTTTCAGTTACATTTTAGTTGTAGGTAAAAGATGGACTGAAGAGTTATATTGGATATGCTGAGGACTCCATGGATTCAACTTCTACACAGGATATGTAGCTCATAACTGATCTTTTGTTCCTTTATGCACACTTACTATTCCACAAGACAAACTACTCCTGCAAATTTTATCAGAATCTTTTTTGCTTTAAACTCTTTCATAAATTACCATCCAAACAATTGTTCAGAGTACTGTATATGAAGATCTAAAAATGTGAATATCCTGTCACCTCTACAGAGCTCTTATTTGCCATTCAATTCTTCCAGGAACAAAGGGGTTTCCTTTGCATAAACTTTCTTACTACTGTGAATGGTAATACTTATCATTGGGCTATCTCAATCCAACCTAGAGTATACTCAACCTTGGTACGGCAGTGGAATGTACTGAATTCTAAAACAAAGAACTATAGACCAGTTCAGGATAAAAGGAAAAATCAAAACCAGTCATACATCAATAAATCACTCCCCAAAAATTCATTATCTCAATCTTACTGTATGCAATTCTTGTTATATGCAGAACAGCTAATGAGCTTTCATCCCCTCACCAATGATTGACAATTCTATGATTAATTCCCAATAACGGATGATTTAAAACTTCATCAATTCATTAAAACAAGAAGCTCCTCTGAGGCCAGCTATACCATTACTGTTGCAGAATGCTGTGGAGAAGTAGGGGGCTTACTCTAATAACCTGCTCAGGTGTTTGTTCAATGTAAAATCATTTATAGAAAAGACAAGACAAAGACAAGCTGGACAGTCTCCTACTGTCTACTCATCTTGCATCACCCAACCAGTGACCTAGACACCCCCACCATTACAGCTATAACAACTCCTTCCCTTCTCTCCAAGTGCGCCAGAGCACCAGCACCCGCATACAAGGTACAAGGCAGTCATTTGGATATATAAGTTTCCAGCATTCTCCCCCAGCTTTCAATACACAGTTTGCAAAGACTTCAGGTTTTTGTACTCAGTATTTGAACTGTAACCCCCAACAAAATCATAGGTCAGAACATCAGTGTTCCCGAGAAACTTATTAATTCCTTTTGTCCAGTGTTCTCTACCCATCTAAATGTCCTATTATTAAAACTTCATTTTTCTGTGACTGGCATAATATCGTCTCAAACTGCATTCCCATGGAAACAGCTGTCTCTGTAGTTCTAAGCAAACTATAAATACTTGCAAAAGTTTATATAAAGAGATTTAAAGACTGCAGTTTCAGAATCCAATATGAAAATGACAAACAGTGGAACACACACGTTTAAAATAACCGAGACACTGATAGTATCAGGATCTCATTGTGGCTACAGCCACAAGTTCTTCCTTCTAGGTAGCATCTCAGAATATGCCTTTCAGTCTTCCACTGACAGCTCTTACAGGCCAGCTGATTCATATCTTCTGTGACAGATGACACACACACACACAAGCTGGAATCCCCAGAGTAAATTCTCACTACACCCTTGTATCCCAACAGTCTGGGTTACAGGCTTAGCTCACAACATCTCAACGTCTTCAGGAATCACCAGTCACTGCAGGGGGAGCATTCACTTGGGAACACCTTTATATACAGGATGGTGCATTCACACTCTCACCTACTACAGTTCAAATGCAGAATGTCAGGACTAACTCACTCCCCAAAGCTCAGGATGCAAATGCCGACTTGTAACAGTCAAGTTCCCCGAAAGTCAACACTTCATTTTGCTAACTTTGTAACAGCAAAGGAACTTTCTACCCTGTCTCCACAGGACATATCATGGGCTCCTGAGAAGGGTGAGCCTAGAACAGCTTACGCATTATTGCACGGTTATGCCATACAGCGTTCTTGTTGTGAACATCCAAAGTCTGAAACATAAACGCACACAATATGCTGAGTTGGAAAGGACCCACAGGGACTATGGAGTCCAACTCTTACATGAATGGCCCGTACAGGAACTGAACCTGTGACCTTGGCATTCTTAGCACCATGCTCTGACCAACTCAGCTAATCTCAGGCTCAACTGGTAACTGTCCTACACAGACAACGGTAACCTATCTTCTCCTGTTACTAGTTAGAAAATTAGAGGTAGCTGAATGTGTTCAAAGCACACACAGTGCCAATTATCAATCACAGCCTTCTAACAAACCTATACTGAAGGCTTGCTTCAGTAAACAGGATATGTTTAGTATACAATGCATCAAAGGCAGCACTATCTGAGCTAACCAAGAAGAGCTATAAAAAATCCCTCATGGTTTACTATACATTTGATCACTCCCCCACCTCCTGTAAATCACTGTTCTCTTGCTCCTCCTGAAGAAAAACACCCATAAAGCTAAGTATGAAGTTCCACTTAAGCCTGCGGCCATGCAGCCTTGCAAGTAGGTACCTGTCAGAGCTCAGTACCTACTGCACAGGAGAAAATCCTCCTCTTGCAGTACAGGATGAGATACTGTGGAGTTCTGGTCCTGAACCACTTCCAAAGGGAGAGAGGGAGAACTGGCGTAAACGGGATGGCAAAGAATGAATGAAAGCATGTCAGGGTAGGATGGAAGGAGAGGTACAAAGTGCAAGTGAGGGATAGAATTAAGGAGAATGTCAGAACAAGGGACTGTGCCAGGTAGTTTTTAAACAATGGTTCATGTCCTAGAGAAATAATGCTGGAGGAATAACATCTCAAATGATGGTTACAATATATTCTGCAACATACGAACTCAGGAAGATACAATAAAACACTTTCTAAGTACACACATCAGGTTTTTTGGTATCTACATCCCCTCTACAGGAAACAATAGTTGTTTTAACCCACATGCTACCGAACATGAAACTTTGGCAAGCTGAAACAAACTAGACTGCTTTTTAGCAAGTTCTACACCATGCCAAAAGATGCAACACTTTAATTCAAATACGCTTTCAGCTGAGTAAGTCCTTTTTCAAAAAAGAACTATTTATTATAGCAAAACAAATCCAAATACTTGTTTGAGCCATTCTACACATTTTAGGAATAAATCCAGAACAACAGCATAAAAGACATCTTCAAGCTTCAGCTCATCACCATTAGGTCCTCCTGACTTCATTCTGCATTCAAAAATTGGATAAAAACATAGAAATGGTAATACTCTACTCTAGTTCAATCTACATCTACAGCACATGATGGCAATGTGTTCCATACTGCCTTTTACCTACGTCATCAAAACATACACACACACATATTCCATCCACTCTGGCTTCATGGACCAAAGCCCCAAAACACACTTTAACACCTGTGCTCAGCAATCATGGCATATTGGTGTTTGAGAAGCAAACTCTCAGAAATCCCTCTTTTTCAGCAACCTTAACTTGGTCTGCATCTCCTTGCTCAACAAGCCTCTCTGCATTGGAATTCCCACTAGTCCTTCAAGTTCCTGCTAGTTTCATGCAAGTTACTTGAAGACTTCTTTTCAAGCCTTCATGCTTCACAAGTCACGCCTCAGTTGAGGTGTAGACTACGACCTTGAATATACAATTAAAAGGTGATGAACAGTTGAAAAGAATATGATAATAATGCCAAAAAAATGCAGAGATTTAGATACTTGTGAAGGAAATTTGATAAACCTTTCCACAATTCCAAATGGATTGGCTACTGAAGTGAAATAGTTTCCGAACTTTACTTTACTGTACTACGTCCTACACAATTTTTGCCCTAAACTCAAAAGTGCACCTTACTACACAAAAAGCAAGAGGCAGCATTCGAAGGTGCAATTGAAGAGTACATCAGTGCAATCTGACTATTAGCAACATGCTTACACACTCCACGAGGCAGAACCTGGGAATTATTATGAGCAAGCTTCCATGAACCACAGTAAGATAAAGCTGAAAAGTCAGCAGCTGCTGAGTGGGCACACTCTTTTTAGTTTACAGCCAAGTTTATCAGTAATTCGTCTGCTGCAATTAAGGACCCTAAAAGCATGAATGCCAAAAGTAAAAACGAATTTGCAACACACAGGGAAAAAAATACTGTTTTCAAAACTTTTCTAAAGGCAAACCATTGCCTGCTGAGCAACTGTAATTTGAAAGAAAGTGCATTGATCACACTCCTTAAAAGTTGGCAAGTGAGAGTTTTCCCTTCAGAATACAGAGGCTCTAGAAGTAGAATCACTTAAAAAAAATGTTAAAGGTTACACAGCATTATTGAATGCCTATGACAAAAACAAGTTTCTGGTTTCACTGGACCAAGCATAGGCATGGTCTGGTCACTCCAGCTGGCCACTGTCAGAGTTACTTGTGCAGCCATCACCTTCACTTTGACATAATCCAAACACTTCCAGGTTCAGAGCTGATGCACTCCAGCTTTTCATCATTTTTATACTTACAAAGGGAGGAGAAAGTTAGTGGGACAGCTAATGAAAGAATTTAAGTCCATTCATTCCCTTCCAATCATATCAGAAGCTGGCTCTCTGAGACACTTTGCTCAGAACACAGAATACTACGACTTGTGAGCACAATGCATTTCACTAGGGAGAATTAGACAAGCCTGGAAAACCTCCCATTATGCATCTCCCAACATGAAGAACTCAAATTAGAAAGGATGCCACTTAATGGCTCTGTTCTCCAAAATCTGACAATTATAATCTCAACCATATCAGAGAATTCAATCAATTGGATACATTCACACCAAATCTGGCCAGGCAGAGTTGTGGCTGGTCTTAAAATTGAAAAAGCGAAAGCACAGTTATAATTCTACCACTGTCACTCCTGATGAATTGAAGAAGTTTTCCCAAACCTGACAATATGGTACACTGATTGCAAACCATCCATGACTGGTTACTGAGACAATATTTTCTGTTCTGTATGTAATTTTCTTATGTTTGTTTTGGAATTTGAATTGCAAAAGTGAAAGAATTTCTTCCTATTGTGTTGATATTCCTCATTAAAAAACATTCTGCTGCTCTAGAATTGGAAATAAATGTTCATGTACAAACATGAATATACACTTGCACAAACATATGTTTTTGTTCACACATGTAAGCACTTCCAAGTCTATCGAATAATTTCAAATGGACATTCAACTTGTGAATCACGGACAAGACACGGACACCTCCTCACACCTAATAACTACTTACAATCCTGGAATTAATTATATGTAGCCAAACACTCCTGGGTATTCCATTTGTTTGTTTATTTGGTTTCACACAATTGGAAGAAAAATTACGTAGGCCTTTCTGTTCTGTCCTCTACTACCACACAGAGCTTTCATTTAACGTTCAAGAGATTAAAGAGGACTTACTAAGGTATTTAAAAATAGTCAATTATACCAACTGTCAAGCAACTGAGTTCAAGAACATTTTTCTGATATAATAATAACTAAAACATCCGAATTTGCACTGCTTTATTACTGCAAAACAAAACTCGTAACTGTAATGTTTACTTAATATCCAGCACGTGCACACTCCTGAGATGTACCAGAGCAAGACCAAGACACATTCATACTACATGGAATTATACTTCCATTTAGCAGACAAGAGTAAATTTAATTATTTTAAATGCTGATGCAATCTTTGAGTGCTGTTCTTCTCAAAAATTAACAGAAAAGAACAGGAGTACTTTAGCACATTATATCCAAAATTAGGCTCAAGTACAGCTCAACTGCAGTGCTAAGATGTCATCTAGTCACTGCTGAGCACACACAATAGCATCAAAATATTCAAATATCCCTGCTGCCTTCCAGCTATTCAGTTAGAAACAGCCCCCCCAAAAAGTCATATCCTTGTCTCCAATGCTAAGTGAAAAAGCAGGTGTGTATGTCTGTACCTACAGACTTTCAGATGTATACAAACCAATCTTAATAAAAACTCAAATCGCATAGATGCCCAACTGTTTTGAAACAGTGAAACAAGACTCCTAACACCTTAGAAACAAATATGTCAATATGTGTATTTCATTGCTGTTTCCAAAAGTTATTTGGATAACAGAAATAATTGGGGGAAATCACCAATGTCTCATGGATGGGTTTTTTCCCTATGCCAACTAGCACCCAGTGAATGTTTTGTTACTCTCCAAAAACAGAATTCAGAGTGCAGCCACCTGATTACACAGCTAGTTAAGAGTCTGATTCCTAATCAAAACTCAAGAGAGATGAAATAAAGACATGAAACATTTGCTTCAATAATGTAGAATTTTTCTTCCTCCACATAAATATCCAGACCCCCCATTTCTGGAAGTGCAGAGAGGACAGTGGGCAGCAGAGAAGCTGAAGCCTTGGGACACAAGGAGAAACAAGCCCCAAAACACCTTCCCAAAACCAAACAGAAGATGGCACCTACAGAAAAAGAATGACAATCCACAGCCCCACAGGTGCCTCCCCTTTGCTATCCCCCTTGCCTGCATGTTTTTAGGGTGTCAAAACACAGTACCTTTGCCTTTCCCGGCAGCGCTGCTGCCAACCGAGGAGGATGCCTGGGAATCCTTCTTCAATCTCTTGCTCTGAGGTCTGACGCTGGACCTGAGAAAATGATGCTGGTCCTGGCTCTGGGAGGGCTGGAGAGAGGCAGGGGCTGGTGACAAGTTGGGATTTGGTGGGGGGCTGCTGGTAGTGTTGCTATTAATGATCTTCTCTTCTTTCTTTGTGCTGCTGCTGCCTGGAGCTGCCTCTCCTCCTCCTCCTGCCCCTTCTTCTTCCAGGGACTCCTCATCTCCTCCTGCTCTCTTGCCCAGCTTTTTCACCCCTTCCTCCCCGCTGCTCTCTCCCAGTTTCACTGTCATCCTGCGGGGGAGCAGAGGGAGAAAAGAGGGGGGCACACAGTCAGGCCAGGGAGCCCCCGGGGAGGCACAGAAACCCCTGGGCTGAGAGGGGAGAAGTTTAGCTGCAGAAATTCCTCTCAACATGGCCGCCGTTGTTTGTTACTAAATCCCCTTTCGTTTGCTGTCCCGACCCAACAACCTGTGCCGAGGGCGGGAGGGGGAAAGCCTCGCCACAACCCCCCCCAAAGCGGCCCAAACAGCAGCCAGGCCCCCCCCCGGTAGTCCCCTGTCTCCGTTCCGAAGGGCTCCGGGCCGCCTTTGGCCGAGAAATCGCCCGGCCAAACTCGGGCGTGTGGCAGCGCTCGCCAGCGCCGGAGGAGAGGCAGCCGCTTGGCCGGCGGAGCAGAACGGAGCGGGGAAGTGCTGCTCCCCCATCCCATCCCACCCCTCCGCGGTTCCCGGACCCGGGGTTCTCCTCTCTCCTCACCGCGGAGCCGCGGCTCGGCCCGCCGCGGGGGGGGAATCCATGCTGCTGGATGCGGCGGCGGCTTCTCCTCTTATGTGTGTGTGTCTGGGGCTGGGACTGGCCGAGGCTACCGAGGTTCCCGCTCCCCTCCGCCCCCACCCCGCACCTCCTCGCGCTCCTTCCCGCCGGGCAGCCCCGACCCCGCCGCCCCCGCCGACGGCAGCACCGTGGGCCGGGTCTGTTCTGTCAGTGGCAACGGGCAGGGACCGGCTCCCCAGGCCCGCACCCCTGCCCACCGCCTCTGCTGGGAGAGAATTAATGCCACCCCATTTCCCCCCTTTTTTCTTTCTTTTTTTTTTTTTTTTTTCTTAATTTGGAGGGCAATAAACTTCGGAGGCACCTACAGCGGTTGTGCACCCTTGCTTCGTTGCTTCTAGCATGCAGAGACCCTGGCCAAGCAGGGCACCCCTGAACCCTTCTTATGTGCCAAGGGAGCATCCCTGGGCTTTCAAAGGCATCTGCCAACTTTTGGACCTGCCATTGGGACCAGTTGCCGGGATGACCACTTCCTGTGCTGACTTCACAAATCCTCTCAATTCTGAAGGCTTTTTTCAAACACTTGGAAAAAAATAATAGATATGAACACAAGCTTAAGGCATCAAATCACATTATCTGTTAAAACTCAACAACTGCTTTAGCTTTTCTTAAGGAGTGTAAAAATATTACTGACAGCATATCTAAAAGAAGTCACCTTCCAAGAAATAACCAGTTAGAGCACCTAGCAAGGAGCAGCACTTGGGATGCAGCTGCCTTGACACCATGGCAGGACCCACCATCCAACTTCCATCTAGGGGAAAGATAACCAACAAGAGGAGGCAATTCTGAATATCACAAACATTGGCATGACTATGGATTAGGCTGAAACCAGGATAACGAGATTCAAATTAATGAAGATGCATCAACATGACATGGCATACAAACTTATGAAGTTACTGCTTATGGGTTCTATTCCTACCATTAAAATTATATTTTTCCCTCTAATTTTCAGCTAAACCACTGAACCCATCCAGAACTGTGTCAGGCAACGTTTCACTCCTTGAAAATGCTCAATAAACTGATCTGAACTGTGGATCTAAACTCGCACTGACATTTGGTTATTTATCCACTTGACAGGTCCCTAGTTACAGACTGGTTCTTCACACACCAAAACCTACAGTTTCTATTTATTTTGAGGACAGAAATCTTCCAATTCTGACAGTGTGTGCTCAAAAACTTCGTGCAAGCAAGGCTTAAATAATTTCAAGCTCGGTTTTATTACTGCAAATTAAACGATGCACCCACCCACTGGCCTCCCCCAACAATTAGTGGGGGGGAAACAAAGATACACTCTTTGGGGACAGCTCCCTCCAGGACCCGAGCAGCACACCCCAGGCTCTGCCCCACTTCTCAACTACTGTCTCCTTTCAGCATTCAACCTAAACCCTACGTGCACTTTCCCCGTTACAGCTGTTCCTCCTTTCCCTTTTTCTCCTAAAGTGAAAAATTCTTCAGCCTCTCTGCTTTGGTCGTCTACACCCTCGTGGCCATCCCTCCGCTGCCTTCCCGTAAGAGCCGCAGAGACGCGTTCCCCAAGCGCGGCCGGCCCGGACGGAAAAGCGGGGCTGGGCCGGTCTCCCCAGGCCCAGGTGCGTCCCGCCTCGCAGGCTCCATCCCCCGCCCCTGCCTCACCTGCCGCATCAATGCCGTCACGCAGCCTCCGCGCTCCGGCTCGCCCGCCGGCGGCTGGCTCGGCTGCTCCAGCACCCACAGCCCCAGGCACCCCCGGGGTACGCCCACACCCGCCAGCTCCGGAGGCGGCCGGCGCGGAGCCCAGCGGCCCTCCCAGTTTTGCTGGCGGCAGCAGCCCCGCTCCCGGCTGTGGGGCCAACCTCTTCTCCGGGATGCTCCGAAACCCAGCCGCGGTCCCAGCACCACCAGGCTCGGCCGGGCTCGGGGCCGCGCTCGGTTCGGGCCGGGGATGGGGCCACCGCGGTTCCGGTTCCTCCTCGCCCTGCCCGGGCCGGGGGCGGGGCCGCGGCGCGCGGGCCCAGCTGAGAGCGCCGGAGCTCCCCGCCCCCCAAACAACGCGCCCCATTGGCCGGCGGCGAGCGGGAGTGAAGCGGGGGCGGGGCCGCGGCTCTAGCGAGAGCCAAACAAAGCGCGTCGAGGGGCGGGTGACGAAAGCTCCGCGCGGAGGAAGAGGCAGCAGCACGTGTCCGCCAGGGGCGGGGTGAAGCCTGAGATGTGGCTGTTGATTGGCTGAAAGAAACACCAATTGAGAGCCCTCTAGCCGAGCCCTTTGGACGGGCTCCAGGACTCTATTGGCCAGGGAGCGGGTGATTTGCATGCGGCGCAGTATTGGTAGCTGCCGGGCGGGGGCGCTCTGGCTCAGCGCTGTGCGGTCTCCGTTCTCTGCCAGGACCTGGGGCTCACTGCCTGGCTGTGCTGCACGGGGCCCGCAGTACCGCTGGCTCTCGCTCGCTTCACCGAGACCTCGACCGGGACCCCAAGAAAGCCGTGGGGCCGTTCTCCCTGGAGCAACTGGAACATTTCTGGGCTGCATCTGGGAACAGGCGCCCCCCGTGAGGCCTTTCACTGGACTAGGGCTTGCTGCTTTTCGCAGCGGAGGCTCCTTGATGTGAACTGATGCTTCTATGCGGTGACTTCAGGTTAACTGCTAAGCAAGATAATTAAAAAAAACCTTACAGCTGATACTGCATAAGATAGTTTTCCTTTAACGTGCTTGTGGAAAGAACATTAGGTCATCCTCTTCTTTGACTCTTTATAACTCTCATAGCAGAAAAGTCCTCTTCTGAGGAAAATCTTTGTAAGCTTAGAAACTAGTTAAACCTCATGATGGTGTCTAAATTCTGGAAAATTGGGCTCTTGTGGTGCATGTTGCAAGCAGTTACCTATAATGGTAGAACTGTAGCATGTCTTAAGCACTGTGTCATCACGTGTAAATATGCTGTAAAGTGTATTTGTGAGTAACCAAGTGCTCTAAGTGGAATTTGTTAAAAATAGGTTTGTCTCCAGTGGCAAGCTTTGCATTTAAATCTGCAGCTTAATTGTTTGGGGTTTTTTAAAGAGAGTATTTTTCAATTTTGTTATAATCTAGCACAAGATCATGTGGCTTATTTTTTGCTCCTTGGTTTGGCCACAACCAAATTCAGCAATACTGTTAGGAAATGATGGATTCTGTATCTCCACTGCCACATATTTCCATAGTGCTTTGCCAGGAGATGTGGAGTTATGTTCAGCTCTCCGGTTGAAGGTTTCCATTGTCTCTGTATGTAAATAATTTTCCGTGCTTGAATAGCCTTATTGCCTCCAGTGGACCATTAAGGTGTGGAATTACTCATGTATCTAAGTGTTTGTGAGAGAAAAGCTGACCCAAAAGGAGTTGGACAAGAGCTGAGAGATGGGGTAGGGTGAGATGTCAAAAGACTCTGGAACTTCCATTTGTTCAGTTTTGATCAAATCCCTACCTCGCTATTCTGTTTATACAGACCTGCACAGCTACAAAATGCAAATAATCTTCCAGTGTTTGTTGCCATAGTTTTCTAGGCCAGGCAAGAGCATTAACTTGGATTTGTCACACATCCTGTGTATTTTAAGGTATGAATAACAAATTGCATTTTTACTGGAAAATGGAGCAAGCAATGCAGAATTGTTCAGCAGAAGGCCAAAGTTAATACTTTAGATTATGTTAAATTGTTTTTAATTTTGCATCTAATGTGCTTGATCATTGTAAATTATAACATGCAAATACTTTTCCAAAGATCTTATATGTAAAAGCCACCAATATAGTGAATGTTCTGTGTTTTCCTATTTAGAAGCTAACACATTTCATTCATAATTTATTTCTTCTTAAAAGGCTCTGAAGTTATTTATTCTGGCAAACAATAATGGATGATCTTTGTGTTGCTAAAGCAGTTCTTCCCTGTGCAGGTAAGAGGATTTACATGGAAGGACAGATTGCTATTGTTAATCCCTATTGCTTACAGAATAGGAAGCATCTAGTCATGCAACTTTGTTTTTCTCTTGGTGTGTGAGGTCAAGCCCTTAGGGGAAGGGAGGAAATGGGCTGTGAGCAACTGCACTACTGCAGTCAGTCCTGGAACTTTAGGGACTTGGAGCTGTTAGGCATCCTTTATGATACCAGGGACTTGGAACTAGATGATTTTAAAGCCCCTTTCAACCCAAACCATTCTGTGGTTATATGATTTTATAAGTAGAAGGGAAGATGTTAGGATCCTAGGATTCCACATTTGCTTGTCTATTTATCATAGAAGCAGGGCTTCTCTGTTGAATATTTGAAGAGTAGGAAAGCTTCATTTCCAGCTAAGCCTGCACAAGTATGGATATGTGGTTTAACTATTGGGGAAAATTCTGTGTAACATTGAACCAGCCAATTCTGATAGCTGTAAAGTGGTCACTTGAGCAGAAACAGTCAGTGCGTTGTTTAGACTATTTTTATTCCAGCCCAGGAAGGGATGATAGACCAGATGATTTTTTTGAGGCTCCAGTTGGCTGTATGTTTCTGACTTGATTGTATCATGTAGTTGCAGTAGTTTCCACAACAGCCTTGTTGTCTGAGAAAACAAGGCTTCTGCACACGGTCTACTCAAATCCTCAACTTCTAGTCCGATGAACTCAAAGCTACAGTGAGACCAATTGGCTTGGCAGAGACAAGA